TCATCATTGCTACACTGCACCCTGACTGGCTCATCTCCTCCCTGCGACCCTTCTGTAAGGGGATGTCCAGTTGCCTACAGGTGGGCTTCGGGTCCCCACTCCATACTTCCCCTCATTCACAATGACAGGATCTTTTGTTCTTTGATTCTTGCTGTATTTCTGAGCAGCAAACTGTGAAGGCTGAGCGTGCCTGGGCTGGGCTTTGTGTTTAATCCACTAAACTAATGAACAGCTAGGTTAATCTTGCACATTCTGTGAAGCACAAAGTCATTCTGCCTGCACAGTTAGTCGTTCACATCAGTGCCTGTGATTGGTGCCCTTGTGCACCAACACAGAAGGTGTTTCTGTGGTCTCTTAGGAAAAAAGATAAAGGGGACCTGAGTGGTACCGAATGCTACTCTTTCACGCACCTCTTCAGATTGAGAGTCCAATAAAAAAGCAACTGTCACATAAAGCAGCATTCCGTTTGTGCGGACAGTCTACACAAAGTGAGGAGTTTAACAAAAGTACCACATGGAATACTCCTAGTTGTCTTTTATATTTTCATCATAATTCAACCACTTAAAAATTAAATAGAGGTCCCATGGGGTTAAGAAACCCATGTCAAGTGGCATAGAGTAGGGATTTGAAGTCAGGTCTCTGTGTGTTAGGGGCCTACCTTGTAAACACTGTTTCTCTGACTTTACACCTGTCTCCCAGGGGCGCAGACCTCCTTTCTCCAGCAGAGCACATCAACCAATGCTTTCTAGGCTGTCTCTCTTCCTGCCCCGTCTCACACTGTTGCCCATCTGGGGACAACTAGCTACTACAACAGCATTAGATGGGGCACCCTTCTCTTGTCTCATTCACTCCTTCTCTCAGGACCCCCAGAGAGACATACAACTTGAAATCGTGGCCCACAAAACCACAAGGCCAAAGGTTTGACCCCAAAACTCAGTTTAGGCCAATCAGTCAATCTACATTCTAGACCCAATGGCCACTTCACTGCCGCCGAGTCCATTCTGATTCACAGTGACCCTGTAAGACAGACTAGAATGGCCCCGTTGGGATTCTGAGAGTTTAAATCTTTATAGGAGTAGAGAGCCCCATCTTTCTCCTGACACTCTCAGCTAGAGGCTGGCTACTGTGTGGCCCATGGGCCCAATCCAACCTGCCACCTGTTTGGATGAAGTGTTCTTGGAACCCAGTCATGCTCATTTGTGCACGAACTGTCTAGGATACTCTTGTGCTACAGTGGCAGACGTAAATCATGGCTTCAGAGATCATGTGACCTACCAGTTGACTATCTGACCTTCAAGTAAACATCCTCTGCCCTTTTGCTCTCAGCCATGCCAAGCTCACTGCTGCTGAGCCAATGCTGATGCACAGCCAGGCCCTGTGGGTTTCCGGGCCTTTTGCTCTGGCCCTGTGCAGAGCATGGCTGGCTCAGGTAGTAAGGCCCCTGGTGAGGATGGTCTCAAACTGAACTAGACTCTAAGAAGTGTTCTGTGGACTCCTCTGACCACTTTGTTGTCGTTGTCATGGTCGCTTTTATTTTTGTAACTGGCACTGGATGAATCATCTTCACCTATATGATTTCATACCATGAGGTCTATATGATCATGATTCCTATATTACAGATATGGAAACTGAGGTCTAGAAAAGTTAAGTCACCTGTCCTTATGAGACTCTACCTGCTGTCGCTGAGGACAAGGGAAAAGAAGTTGTGTTGTTCACCTTCCTGCAAAGGGGAAGGCTTCAGGGGCTGGAACACCGCCTGTGTGGGCAAGCCCTGTTTCCTTACTGACCCGACATGGGGGCTGTTGGAGACGGACGAGAGGTTTGAGGGGCTCTGAGAAGCCTGGTGCTTCAATGCTCCCAACACCAGGAAGAAAAGGGGGACTGGAGACTATGTGCGTAGTCATTTGCCCAATACCCCTATAACCAGAAAGGATCTGGCTTTTTGACACCACCATAGATGGAGATCACTTGATTATCCGAAAAGGATCACAATCATGTGGGGCCAAATTTTAGCTCAGCTTATCACGCCAGATCCTAAGATACTGTGGCCAATGAAGCACTTCCGTGTGAATCACGTGAGCAGGACGACTCTTTCAGTGGACAAGGAGGAGTTTGGGCTCCCCTCGAGGTACCTCGAGGGATTGCTGCATTGCTGCTCCTTTATAAACCCAAACTCCACCATTGAGTAAATTCCAACTCAGTGTGGACACATAGGTCAGGGCAGAGCTGACCCTGTGTGTTTCCAAGATCGCAAGACTTTTCCAGGAGTAGACAGCCTCCTCTTTCTCCCATAGAGAAGCGAGTGGATTTGAATTGTGGGCCTCATGATTAGCCACTCAGTGTTTAGCTGACAACAGTGTGCTATTTGGCAGGGAGAGTTGGCCACCCTTGTAGGCTTTTTCTATCTTAATGAGAAGGCTGTGTGGCTAATTAGAAGGACAGCTCTCCACAGGACTAGTCTACCCGCATGCAGCAGGTGCACCGAGGAGCTGGATGGAATGCAGTCAAGAGCCTGATTCAAATACATTTATTATGTATTGTGCACCGCGAAAATCAGGTTGCCTCCATCTGCATTGTTTCCTTTTTAAGATTACGACGTTATATCAGCAAAGCACTTGGAAACGAAACGTGTTATTGTTATCAGCGGTACAGTAATGGTAGCAGTGGTAGCACCCATCCTATTGTTGTGCCAGTCTCCAGGACAGCCGAGCTTAGTGTCTTTATCCTTTAGGAAGCCACTATAGAGCTGCTTATATAATGAACTGCATTAACACATCGGTATTCCCACCTGCTTTGTGATGATGTGCTGCCTTGCAAAGACTTCACACACCGTGAAACATGCTCTTCATAAAGAAGAATGCTGTTCAATCAAAAATAATGTCGCCTTTCGATCACAACGGGAAAACGTGCTTTACAGAGCCATAACTGTTCCAGGGAGATTCCGCAGAGACAAAGACCCACTTCCCTTTCCAACACCCGTGGAGTTCTCTCTGAGACAGCGCCAAGCTCACGCCCAAAGGACAGTGAGCACAGCTCCCCATCCCAAACAAAACAACACACAAACACGCTACCTCTTTCTCATTTCAGATTTTCCTCAGTGTCTTAGTGGCCGCTTTAAATCTTGGCTACGCATCTGCTTGTTTGGAAGCCTTTGCAACTGGCCGTGCAGCTGCCTCCAGTATTTTTGAGACAATAGACCGGGTACGTGAAAGCCAAAAGTTACCTTCTTTAGCAGGTTGAGGGGTGGAGGTGGGGGTGAATTCCTGGGGAATTGACTATCTGAATTAATAGATATGAGCAGCTACCACAGTGCCCTTTATTTAGCAACACCTATTCATTATTATCATGAGCTTAACCTAAGTCTAAGAGCTGAGACTGCAACAAGTGAACCAGACAAATAAGGACCTTCCTCTGACACTCAGGGAGTGCCGTCAGGTTGAAGGTTCAAGTTCACACCCAGGTGCCTTGGAACAAAGGCTTGGTGATCTACCTGTAATGAATTAGCCACTGAAAACCCTGAAGTCAAACACCTTAAGCCAAGAAGATGCACTGCATTCTTCTTAAATACAAACAAAAGTTTAGCTTAACTAGTACAAAACGTCTGCCTTGAGTACTATGCCCTTATGAACGTTAAGTCAAAACATATTGCTACAAAATAACAGACACTTTTATTAAACAAAATTATCAAAATGTGAAGCTATTGTTTCCTGACAGCTCCTCCAACTGATTCTATATTTTTCTGAAGATGGCACTTCCCTCCCTCTAACCCTTTCCCAAGGCTCCCTGGTGGTGCAGTGGGTTAAGTGTCAAGCTGCTAGCTGAAAGCTTAGTTGTTCAAACCCCGAGCCACTCATTCCATGCAAGCAAGATGAGGCAATCTGCTTCTTTTTAGAAAAAGGTTATTATTAATTGGGAATTAATACATATATCACATCATTCCATAGTTCAATCACGTCAAGCAGAGTTGTACTATTGCCAACACAACCCATCTGACTTACACCCTCAAACATCCTACAGAGCAGTCCCAGTCTGTCCTGTAGGTAGCGTGCAGTTGGTGGGTTGATTGGCTGTCACCTCCCACCCCACTCCTCAAACTCTTCCATTTACACCAAGTCAGAATGGCAGTTTGAGCCTCCTTGCGGGACACAAACCATGTTCCTCTGAAATGTTCTTTGAAACCGGGGAGCAAGAAGGAGTCTGAAGTGCTAAGGTCATGGCATTAAGGTGGATGGGGTAAGGACTTCCAATGGATTCTCATGAGGACAGTCCTTGCTACACTAGAAGAATGAGCAGGGGCATCGTCATGATAGAAGGAGAAAATTCCTTGGTGCCACTTTCCTGGCCTTTTCTTTGGCAGTGAAATTTCCAAGTTTCCAGAAACTTCTGCCCTGACACATATGGTGTCTCCATGCTTCAAAGTCTGCTGAAGATCAGCGGTGCCTGGTGAGTGCAGGGCGGTCAGGCGTGAAATCAAGGAGCTGAAAGAAGGCACTATGCTCCACAGAGCGAGCACGGGACAGAGGCTGGAGGAATGGGAAGGGGTCGGAGCATGCAAGACATAGGCCATGTTCTTCAGGTGGGGTTATCTCTTAAGTGTGATGGACAGCAAGTCTCTGTGAGCTTATAAAGGCTCTGGTACCCTTGTTAGGATTTTCCATTGGCACATGTTTGAGGTTGAGGTAGTGGGTCACAACCTAAGACCAGAAAGGGGAAGATGATGTTATTCTAACTCTCTGACGACAATGTCCTGGGATAAGAATTGAAACTCTGAGATACTTCCTCAGAAAAACAAACCTGGAAAAACAAAAACCCAAACCAAAATCACTGCCATTGACTCGCTTCCGCCTCACTGTGACCCTATGGGACAGAGAGGAACTGTCCCTGTGGGGTTCCAAGACTTTAAATCTGACAAGAGTAGAAAGCTTCATCTGTCTCTTGAAGAGAGGCAAGCTGCTGACCTTAGGATTAGCAACTCAAAGTGCACTTTATGTAAGTTTTTTGCCACCAGGCCTCTGGACCCTGAATATTCCCTACTAGACAATGAGGCTGTAGCCTGCCTGAGGAAACTCTTGTGCATACTTAGGGGTTTGGGAGATTATTTTGCCTTTTTTTAAAAGGAGAATATTATTGAGAACCACATAAAGAATCAAGCTGTCCAAATTCTACCTCATTCTTGGGTTGTTATATGTGGAAATAATATGATGACTCTCAAAATATCTGGGACTATGAGATACCCCCCCCCCAACAAGCAAACATGCAAGATCATTTTAATATCTTTACAAAGGACACAAAAAGATGAAAGCAGATTACACCATGCCCCCAAAGAGAGCTCTGATGATGACGATGAACTTCTCTCACTAGTGTGGGGATGGAAGAACTTGGTCTTGGAGGGTTTCCAGAAGCAGGAGGTGATCCTCATCCTGGTCTGATTAACCAGACTCGCTAAGTCTGGTTAACAACAGCTAACAACAACAGCATGAGAACAAAGAAAAACCACACCCACTGCCCCTGAGCCAATTCAGTCTCATAGTGACCCTGGGTAGGGCATCCGAGGCTGTAAGTCTCTAGTGGAGAAAATAGCCTCATCCCTTCCCCACAGAGTGGCTGGTGTGTTTGAACCACGAACCTGGTAGCTGGCAGTCCGATGCTTACCAGGTCGCTCACAACCTAGAGAAAACACACAAAAATGATTGCCCAATCCAGTTAATGCGGACTCATAGCAAACCTAGATAGGTTCACTAATGTAAACAGAGGCAAAACTAAGCCTAGAAGTGGAAAGTTGATAATATTTGAAGAGATCACTCGAGAGAACTGCACTTTAAAACTCTACAGTGATATTCAAATAGGGAGTACCATTGGGCCCTTGTTGACCGATAACTTGCATGGCCCTAGGCCAAATACTCAATGTCCTGGCAATTTCACTTCTTTAACTGAAAAAATGGACATATTGCTTGCCTACTTAGGTTTGTTGACAATGGCAGAAATTTAAAAAGCATGTTAAGGACCTTGTACACTCTTTCATACAAAGTGAGATCTTGATAAATAGTGGTTAACACATGGCTGTTAGCCAAAAGGTTGACAGTTCAAACTCATCCAGAGGATCCCTGGAGGAAGGAAGAACTGGCCATCTATTTTCATTAGGATTTCAGCCCCCAAAATCCTATGGGGGTTGGGGTTGGGGTTGATTCCATCACTTGGAGCCCATCTGAGTCAGAATCGACTTGAACAGTAGCATTATCATTAGTAGTAGAGTGATACATATTACATTTTGTTGCAACTTATCCTTAGCATATCTGTAATGCTTCGCTTGTTTTCGTGATATTGCTTGTTTGCTTGTTGGTCTCATTTTCTTAAGTTCAAAATGCTATTTAAACTTATCTCATATAATGCAACTGGCTGCTGTTGGCCCTTTTATTTTCCATTCTAGCAACCAGTCATTGACTGCATGTCAGAAGATGGTTACAAGTTGGATAGAATCAAGGGTGAAATTGAATTCCATAATGTGACATTCTACTATCCCTCCAGGCCGGATGTGAAGGTGAGTTCCAATCTTGCCTCTAGAAACAATGGACAAATATTTTCATTCTCGATGATTCATTTCCAGACCTACAAATGAAGTGTTTTGAACCCTGACTTAGTTTCCAGGAACAAGGCATGGAGGCCGGTTTCTCGGGAAGTATACTGGGGTATTGTGACAAGCAGGTGACACACATGCATTCCATTGCGATGTCAAATGTGCCAACCTCTCTGGTTGCGATGTCCTTTGACAATCTTTGCAATTTAGGCCAACTGCAAGATGTTCTGTCGAAAGAAGCGTCAGGTCCTGTCATTCTAAGCACATGCTAAACTTCAAGGTCATCAAGAAATTCTTGAAGGACAGCTTCATCCACCATTTCCTTAGGGACCGCGGCCAACAGAGGACGCTGAGTGTGTAGGGAATGGAGTGGTAAAGAAAGCTACTACCCAAGGGTCCTGGAATGAGCCCTGGTAGGAAGATGATGTTGTGCCCACTTGTCTTGTACCAGATGATTAGTCAAGGGAAAAATAATGTGTCACTCTCCCGGACCTAATGAATAAATATCTTTATAAGCAATTTATATTATAGAAATATTTTGATTGAGTCCCCCCATTGGATCGATTGGCTTTAAAAGAGATGCTGTCTTCATTATTACCAAAGTGTCTTTTAGTCACCCTTTTAAAAAATTCTCGTCATCCCCACAGAACTAAATCCCATGCCCTTAGCGTACCTTCACTCTGACACTACCTAGCACAATGCACCTGCTAGTGCTCTATTAAAAGTTTATTGTTGGTTAATGTTGTATGCCCCATATGTATATAAATGCCACATGTCTTTTTGTTTTTAACATTTTATTAGGGGCTCATACAACTGTTATCCCAATCCATACACACATCAATTGTGTAAAG